CGAATATTATCTTTTCACCCGATTTGTCTGTTTTTTCTTATACGTAAAAAGTACTCAACTATCAAATATTATTATTTATTTAATATTATTACTTAAACTATTACAGTGCAGCATTAATGTAATGTGACCGCAGATACCGAGGTCTACCTAATGGCACAATTAAGGTGACATTGCTGCAAATTTTGACTGCTTTACGACTTGGCCCGGAAATTGTGTTTTCATAGCCGACTTTTTGTTTTATTACCTCGACTGGTAAAAACTAGAGGGTGAGAACGGGGACTCTATTAGTTCAGTAAAAACCTACTTAAGTTCTAACACTGAACGTCAATGGTTAATGAGAGTTGAGAGCCACAGTTAACAGACTGGACTGAGTTGATGCGTCACAGATTTCTTTCAGAAATGTAGAATTTAATAATCTCTCGAAGATATTTAAATATAACACTTTCACGGTTTAAAACACGTTTTTGCTTTGCAGCAGCCACCACGGTTGTAAAGCATCCGAGACGTCGGTCCGAAGTTAAAAATAATTTTCAAATAAGTTTAACTAATATATCGCGTATTAAACCGTTAAAGTGTTTTATTTAAATGTGTCCTACTCGCGTAAAACTATAGACGATGTTACTCTCAAAGATATTTTTAAACATTAAAGCTTAACATAAATTATGCTTGCTTGGAAACTGTCATAGGAAAAGATTTCCAATCATTACAAGATTTTAAAGAAAACGAAGATAAAAATCGTTTGATCATTGACTTTGAAACTTCTGCAACGAAGAGATGGAAACCCAAGCGATATTTGATTATATAATTATTATATTTGATATCAGAATGAGAATAACTTTTCTTTCATAAATAACGTCTTTAATATTGAAAGAAATATTTGAACTTATTTACCAAACTAAAGTCCAACAAAACAAAATTTCTTGTCTGTAATTTTTGTGAGTAGTTAACACATTTAAATAAAACGTGTATTTCTTCCACGAACCCCGTGACCACGGCTGCTGTAAAGCATCCGAAACGTCGGGCCGTAGTAAAATAAATCGTAAATAAGTCAATATATTTCACCTTTTAAACCGTTAAAGTCGATTTATTACCTTTAAATATTGATATTCAACCCGAAAAACCAAAAAATACTTTAATTCATACTACGTTCTTAGCAGGACAGTTCAATACAAAATGGAATAAAAATGTATCTCAGAATTTCTCCCTTATGACCTGATGTCCGCTCATAATACAATACTATTCCGGGTTGATGAAGGGATCTCATTAATAACCCAGCCTTCGATTCCCTTGACGATAACTGACTCGCAGCGTCGCGATATGGAACAATTTATTTGGAGGACTTATTTATATCACATCTTCGTACCAACATTACGAAACCGTAAAATGGTGTTTACTATAGCCCTGGGGAAACAAGGGGGTTTTCGTTCGCTATTATTATTTGTGTAGATTAGTATAGTTACACTTTTTGATAGATTTAGTATATCCGGTTTTAAAGACGCAACGTTAGGTTTACCGAACACAATAATCGGTTGAAAACACACATAATATATATCATGTTATTTCAGACATATATATAAGTCATATAAAGACAGATTATGTATCGTGCTATACGTAAAAATATATTTTCAGAGCTTTACTGTGTAGGTACTGATAGTTTTATTTACTTTATCAAAGATAATTCTTTTCATTCCATGTTTAGTTTGCTTGAAAGAAGTCGCTTTCAAAATGGCCCTGTTTATTAAACGAATTAATAATTCCTATATTCAAATTACGACAACGGTGTCAAACATATTATTTTGTTACAGGCTTTAATAAATAATAATTTATTATTAATGTAGTTTAAACAAAAGAAATACAATACATCTACAACATTAGCTATATTTAATTAAAGGATTTTCCGATAGCTTTTTCAGATTTAGTTATTTTCATTATTAAGAAGATAGAATATAATGTTATTGGACATAAATATGGGCGCGATAAATCGAAAATTAAATATTTCATAATGTAATTCTGCTAAAGCATATTAAATTCTACTCTAAACAACATTCAGTTAATATTTTACCTAGATACACCTTAGTGGGTGTCAGGAGACCACTCGGGCTCAGCATAACCGAAGGTTACGGCATATCTAGCTTGATTTAAGTCCGTATAGATGCATAATTTTAAATGACTACGCGATTTTTAGATAGAAATCTTAATACTAAAAAAAAGTATTAAAATTTAAATAAAACACAATAATATTTATTTGTGAAAATTATTTGGAATCTATTTTCACTACGGCCCTGCTTTTTAGCAGTCGTGGTCACGCGGAGGCGTCGGCCCGTAGTAAAAATACTTGTATTCATTTAAGTCTTTTCTTAATAATAACCTACTTCATTACCATTTTAGCATTATTAATACAATATTGTTAACCGCTGTTTTTATTTTGAATTAAAGCGAATTATATATTTAAAGATAAATCCACATTTTAGGCGTAAATGAAATAAGAATTAAGTACCTCTTGAGACAATACTTCAAAGAAAACATTTAAGGCGACCTCATTGTTTGGGTCAAGCTTTTCTCCAAAAATTTCATTATTGTTGTTTACAGAGTTATTAAATATTGAGTTAGCGTTAAATGAAATAAATCTTTGATCTCGCGTCGCAATACTGAATTATACATTTAATAAACAAACTAATTGGATAAAATAATATAACTTGCTTTCAAATAATTCTATGAACGACCATAAAACGAAGCGAGGCGGTAAATTTGTAACCAAACAGCTGTAAAATACAAATTTAATTCGACAACTCGTAATGATTGATCGAGCCGCCATTGAAAGGGGAATTAAAATCGTTACAGGAAGAGTGAAATTTTAATTTTATTACCGCGAAATTTCGACGAGATTGCTGCGTAATTGGATTTTTGTTTAGCGGTTAGTAGGATGCTTTTAGCATTGTTTTATAATGAACTTTTCTCGGTCGCCTCCGATTTTGTATTACGATCGATATTTATGGTTATTATAATTTGTTTATTTTATTATTCGAGCAATCGGGTAGGTAACAATATTTCCTGATAATGCCGTCCGCTCGTGACGGCGAGACGTAGAAAACCTCTTCTCGCTCACGTCGGCCGAACGGCCAGAAAAACAATGATATGCTGTACGATGGCCGTGAAAGCGTTACAAATTTATTTATAGTGTAAGTGATTTGAATTCAAAGTATACATTTATATTCATATTGAGGAATAGTTTTATATCATATATGTGATTGAGATTCGAATATATTGTAAGTGCAGATCCTGCGCAGGCGACGTTTAAACGCAAGTTGTATAACAAAGAAAACAGTCGCGCAACTGACTCTTTGACAGATTATAGTTACTTTATTTGACAGGTCGACGTTGACAGTTAGAAGCAACATACCCACAATAAACTAAGCTTATCTTTAGAGTGGAGAGAATTGAGTTTAAATATTCTTCTTTACATATGTTGTTATGTAGTAGCAAATAATGATTAGTTATCATTGAAAAGGTAATATATATAAAGTTATTTAATATCAACGATCAATAATATTAATAAACAGTTTCAATCAAGTTTTGAAAAGTTAACCGTCTATAAAGGGAGGTACAGTTATTAAAAAGTAATTTTGTATGAATAGTTAAAAGGAACGCTTCATTAAATTGAAAAGTACAAAGTCTAAAAGAAACAACTATGCTATGAATGTACTGTAATAAATCTATGTCAATTTAAATGATTCACTTTAACGGTTTAAAACGCTATAAATACTAGTTAAACTTATTTGAATTATTTAAACTACGGCCCGATGTTACTGATGCTTTGCAGCAGCCATGGTCACGGTCCCTCCGTAAGATGGAGGGTCTCTAATGTCAAAGTAAAAACTGCACCAGCGCCATCTGTTCCGTCGTAGTTGGTATTTAACGAAACTGACCAGAACTGCAAGGAATTTCTAAATAAGTTTAACTAATATATACCACATTTTAAACCGTATTAAAGTGTGATATTTATATGTGCACTACTCGCCTAAATTACAGACAGTATCTACGTCAATTTAATTTTCAGCATATTTCCAAGCAGATCTTTATTGTATTAAAAATACCAACGTTTTAATGTCATGCGCAAAATTACCATTGTTTTGTCCTCATTTCAACAGTTAAATGAGAGTTAATTAGCTGCAATATATCTTGTGGTTGTTTCCACAGCCCCTTGGGCTTCTCTAATGCCAGCGTGCACATAAACATTTACATAATTTTATTATGCAAAGCCTAGAGGAAAGGTATTTTTCCACATGAGAACGTTAGAAGTAAAAATTTAAATATTTATGTTACGTGATTATATTTATAATTTAAATATGTTCTTGTATATTAAAAACTAGTTATCTAAATTTTAACTTTTATATTTTAACAATATATTATACAAGTTATTTGTTAACGTGTTTATTAGAGCATTTATCGAGGAAGGCTATATGATAGGGCGATAGGGCAACATCTGTGACTAATACAAGAAAACATACAGCGGGAAATGTGAAAGACATTGGAAAAATTATTCATCAGTTACCTAAAAAATGTGTATGAAAGAAAAAAGTCCGCGATGCTACATATAGCAAAGATAGACATTATCTTCTAAAATTGACTTGTAAGGAACGATGGGAAGGGACGCGAGCGAAGTCGTGGGTAACAGCTTAAGATAAAAAAAAAGGTTTGCAAAAACGCATTTGGATGCCCAAAATAAATATTCTATTCTTATATTCGTAGTCGCTGTCACAGCTAGTGTTTCATATTTGTTTTCAATTATTTACGCACTGCTTACAGAAATATTAAAAAAAAATGTTATGTTTACTATGTTTTTGTTATATACTCTGTACTTATAAATACATGCAAACCTAAATTAATAATCTATGAATTACTCAACACTGACAGTGATTAAGAGAAGGCTTGAAGGGCGTGTATTTCCGAGAATAAAAGTTCCACTCATAAATGTTTTTTTATTATTATTACAGTTAACAATGGACGATACTCTAGGCTTTAGTGAGCAAGAGAAAAAGCCATCTGAAGAATGGCATTTAGGAGAAGGAGAGGAAAGCATGTCTTCTGTGGCTTCTCGGTTCGGTCCTCAAAATCAAGATCTACAAGTAATACAAAAGGTAAAGAAAGTATAGTCCAAATATTGCCTAAGCGAATAAATTTTTAGTGTAAATTCATGTTTATTCGACTGCTGGTATGTTACCACCCATATTTCAAAAATTAAAGCCATATTTTATGTTTAAATAAAACACATTAACCGTTTAAAACGCGATATATTAGTTCCGTCGAAGTATAGCATTTTTTTACTTTGACGTCAGATATCCTCCATCTTTAGTATCCCGGTGACCACGGCTGCTGCAATGCATCCGAAACGTCGGGCCGAAGTTAAAAATCATTTTCAAATAAGTTTAACTAATATATTAAACCGTTTAAGTGTTTTATTTAAATGTGTACTACTAGCGTAAAGTATAGACAGTATTTAATGTTTTATGTGCTAGAAAATCTTATATTATGTATATATTTGTTAGTTTCTAACAAATATATTTTACATAACTTTTATTACTTTAAAATTTCATATCCAATATATTATATTTATCTTGATCCATCCAGACATAAGGTTCGTATACTTGGATCATAGCAACGCATTTGAAACGCAAGATGGCGTGATGCACAATCGGGGTATCTACAACTAAGACACTAAAACCTATAATCTTTCAGCAACATAAATGTACAATTTATAGTCAATATAGGCAGATACACCAATCTTCTAGTGAGAAATCTTCGGCCTTTATCTACGTTTTCAGAAGGAAATCCCGATGGACCGACCAGTTATCGCAGCTACAAAATGGGAGAGGTTGGCGTACTATAGAAGTTTTGCAACCAGTCAGACCAAAACACAATTCTTGTGTATGCAACAAGAAGACTTTAGGACGTAAGTTATATATTAATCCACTTGCTTCTAACTACGTTATCGAGTTTCGACTGTTCGATGAACTTTTCAAATCCAATTTAATTACACGTGATTTTTAAAACTACTACCACGCTACTGCCGCCACATATAGCATGTATAGCTGAGCACTGGACGATATGTCTTTAACATATCCTTCCTCCATATGCATCCTCTTAACTTTAAAAATAGTATTCTAATGACAAGGAATTGAAAATTAACTTCTTTGCTTTTTCTATCATAAAAAAGATTTATTTGTTTATCGTAGCATCATACCCTGAAGGTGTAATATACTTAGTTATTTATGCATTCAAAATTATAAAATATACAAATACAATTTATGGTATTCTCAATTTTCATTTTGCAATTTAATCTTAATTATAATATTTTCCAGGTACCTGCTGAACTACCTGATTAACGTATTTATGAAGAGTTTTCCAACGACTTACGTGTACACATTTTTTAGTGCTTATTCGCCGGATAGTCACTTCTTCATATCAAAGATTTTGCCCATAGCTTACGGTGAGGTGACAAATTTGCATATTACTTATTAAATTAAGCTTTGGGCCCTTAGGTCTAGAGGCTTTGTTTATTATTATCAGCAACCAACCAACGGGGCTTAGTGAGGCCGGTACTTTGATACAATGACAAGCCGAGAATATTATAATTCTGTAATTTCTGATGCAGTGCAGAAAACTTTGTTTCACGAGCAAAATTTTGTTTCTATGTAGTACTTAAACGCATTTTAGCTATCCGTAGATTTAAAGCAAGTCAATGCAAGAGTAATGTATTCTTTGATATATATATGTAATTGAGTACACAAAATCCATAAAGTGTTGTAAGGTAGGATGTGGGTAAACAAAGTACACGTCTCTTCTCCTACAAATGAAATATTAGTATAATGAAATTAATTCCTAATGAGTCAAATACGATCTAAATACAAACTTAATTAGCGAAGGAGGAGTTTAAAGTCGAGCTCATTATTTCATATCAACACCTTATTTTTTTTGTTTCCTTAAAATTAATATAACCTTTGTTAATGCCAACTTGAAATTTTAGGTTCTACAATCGCCTTCATAGTTTCAGCTTTTATTGAATTGGTCATGGTCACATTGAACACTGCAAACTACTTGCATTACTTTATTGTGGGATTGGTGTACCATAGTCCGTGGAACAGGTGAATTATTAAATAAACACATTAACAAAGGTTAAGCCAGATGTGTCTTCTATCAACAAATATTTAACTAGACTGGTTGTTTAAATAAAACATTCTAACAGTGTAAAACGCGCCATATGTTAGTTTTAAATTTATTAGAAAATTATTTTTAACTTCGGCCCAAGGTTTCGGATGCTTTGCAGCAGCCGTGGTCACGAGAATAATCATTTTCAAAGAAGTTTAACTAATATATCGCGTTTTAAACCGTTAAAGTGTTTTATTTAAATGTGTACTACTCGCGTAAACTATAGACAGTATTCAAGGCTATATATTAATATATAAGATTGCACTGTGACTGTGTGTGATGAATAAGCAGAAGGAAAAAAACGGGTAAGTTAATCATCTCCATGGGTTCCTAATGCGTACGCTGTAAAAACGGTTCTAGATACGCAAAAAAATTGTATGAAACTATGATATCTCTCTAAATTACCTAAAAAAATGGCTTCATGGCCGCGTTTTAAACCTTTAAAGTGTTTTATTTAAATAATAAAATATTAGCCTTCCTCAATAAATGATCTAACCAACACAGAAATAATTTCTCTATTCGAACCAATAGTTCCTAAAATTAGCGCGTTCAAACAAACAAACCAACTCTTCAGCTTTATATATTAGTATAGATATAATGCGTTTGTTTGTTGCGAGAAATGTGAAAAAAAATTGGGAAAATTATTCATCATTATGGGTTTTCGAGACGTACGCTGCAAAAACGGTTCAAATGCAAAAAATATGTATGAAAGAATGTTTCCTCATTCCTCTGTCCGCGACGATATGTCTATATTTTAAGGTTAACTTGCAAGAATGACGGGAAGGGACGCGACGTACGTCGTGGGTAACAGGTTAAGTTTATAAAAATGAATGGGTTTGCAAAAACGAATTTGGATGCCCAAAATAACTATTCTACGCGGACGAAGTCGCTGGCACAGTTAGTATGACAAAATTTAATTAAGGTTTTTACAATGAAGGTGTCCAGAAACAAACTATACTTTTGGCGACCACCACCTCAAGTGTTATGAAGCCCAAGAATTTTCCCAACAATTTGTAAACAAAACAGTTGATTATTCCCATTGTGCTTACATTTCTCCGGAGGGGGAGTATTTTCAATTGGCTCAGATGTTATTTCACACGTGAGTACTAGACTATTCAGTATTCCACGGAAATCGAATCTTGTTCGTTGGAGCACCTCACTTGTCACTCCGTAAACACACGACAGCTTTTTAATATAATAAATAAAACGTTTTGAAACAGAGCACTAGTTTGTCTTCTGCACTAATTAGGCTGCTGAACTGCATCGGAAACGCCAGATCATATATCGAATAAGCAACCTAATATATTTCGCGTTTTAAACCGCTAAAAGTGTTTATTTTATTTCAGTAATATACAGTTAAACGTAATATATCAATAAATTAGATTATGTCTTAGTTAATTTATCAAATATAACTGATTATTTTAATTTTGACGTGAGTGACGTGAATGTCAAAATAATCTTGTACAAGTTATTATTATCTGTATATATAATTTCAGATACTGCGATAACTTCTTTTCACGCTGTAATAATGTATTTTGTTTTTATTTTATCGTTCTTTGGATCGGAGCTGCAGCATCTTATACTTTGTTTTTCAAGAAATTCTTATGGAAGGTATTGTATATTATGTTTGTTGGTCAATCAATTTTTCGTACCTTATTTTTTAAAAGAAAGCTGAAATACAAATCTGTATTCTCTTTGTTTATTATAACCTATGTCCCACAGCTAGGCTTAGATTTCCTCTCTTGCAAGAGTAGTGTTAAGTTCTAGAGCGAGTCGTCAGGTTTTCACGACTACTAATAACTAATTTAGAGTATATATCTGGGACTGAACGCTTGGCGTCCCCTTTTATAACGGGAATAATATCCCCACCTTCTTCCATACACTGCGTAATAGGTAGGTAGGTATTTTTCGACATAATCATTAATACTAAACTACCTTTAGCTACCTCAAAATCAAATTAGCACCTCGTATTCTAGGGTCAAGTATTTTACCAAGCATTTCAAGTATTTTACTAATTACAGATATTGAATTTAACTCAAATGTTCTTAAACATTATACTATTTGTGACGTTTATCCATTTGACGACAGTGTACTTTGAAAAGGGTTTTCGGAAGTTTGGAACGTATGAGACGAAAATTCTGGAGGTGATGCAGGTAAGTGAGTGTTTGATTTAAAAAAAAATCTTGTAACATTAAACGACGGACATTCATTAGTAACAAAATCGAATCCGAAACGTGAATTTGTGGTTCACAGCAAATCCGGTTTGATTATTTATCACATTATTTATACAGACAGTATTTATTAATCTCATTCCTACAAAGTATTTAAAACAATAGATCCCAGGGCCCAGTAGTATTTAAACTACACTAGATTCCATTGGCCCCTACAAATAAGTCATTATATTATAATTTTTCAGAATTCAGATATTGATTTGCTCTCAGAATCTATGACAGCACCACCTATAATACACATTTTATCATCGAGGAGCTCTGAAGAGGTTTGAGAGCCATACTTAATTTATCTAAAAATTCATGTAAACTGGAACAAGCAATAAAACATTAAGTATCACATGTTTTAATACAGTAAAATGTAATCATTTGATATTGGTGAAGTAAGTAATAAAAAAGTATTTGAATTTTACAATACCATCTTGAAGACACTATCGTGCCTCTATCAGGGGTAATGTATATTTATATTATAATTTCTTATTTTTTTTTAGAATAGGCCAACACAAGACAGTGCTATCATAGTCACATCTAACGCAATCTACTATACCTTCCGAGGCTTCGTTGCTTATTTGCTGAAGCTATATTGTGATAACGTTATGAACACTTCGCTTCAAGACAGCTATTTCAGTACGATTTTCATTTTTAATATCTAATATTGTATTATTATATAGTTTTGCTCCGCGGGATAAGTGCGCTGTTTGAGAAGCTTATAGTTTTATAAATTATTTCCATAGATCTGATTTATTTATACAATTTCTAACCAATGAGATTTAGTTTTCAAATTTGTTTTCTTTGTAGGTTCCCAATCACTATTTTATTTATGGCCGATCTACTTCTCACAATTTTATCTTGGCGACCTATTTGGAATAATGTTCTTCTTATTGAATTTTATCAATGAATATTTGGTTATAGTACGTATGTTAGAATTTTTTTAACGCCATTGAAATCGAGAATAAAGATTTTAATAACAGTATTATATTTTCATACGAAATTAAATAAATTAGAAATCGTAAATAAATTTAAATTACATTGCGTGAGAGGTCGATAGGTTGAGAAAATTCGATAATAACGTGTAGGACTCGGTAGCTCAATTGTTAGAACAACAGCACGGAACGCTGACGATGCTGGTTCAAGTCCTGCCAAATTTGTTTCTTTTTTCAATTTACTTTAGATTTTTAATTTATATGGTGCCATCATGTGAAAAATACTTATATAACTGAAATATGTAAAGTAAAATAGTGTAGAGTTAAGTTTGTGATTCAGAGAGTGTAATGAAACAAAAATTGTCGTAATATTTTTGTTTAATTTACACTACGAATTTTATCCCTCGTAAACCCTTTAAGGTGATAACTCTTCAATGTTTAATAGAAGCAATTCTAAGCGAATGGCGTTGGCTGAGACCGTGGATGGTTATTATCACTTTGAGTGTGCTCGGAGTCACTTCCTTTTACTTTACTTCTTCAGTGGTAAGTGTAAAAGTGATTCTTTATTTATTTTTACCACAAATATTACATCGTATTTTTGTTAAACAATAGGTAAGTTTTACTCGTAAGTTCAAAATAATAGTATATACCATCTATTCGGTAAACCACACAGTGATATCGATAATAATAAGTGAATGATAGACGCGAATAAACTTCACGGCAGTGGATGGGAGTTTATGACTCGGACGAAATTTCGATCTTCCTATCACCCAGTTAATATTTTACAGAAAATATATAAATTGATTAGTAACACGTTAGACCCGAAGGAAATCGAACCGATGGCCCGTTAATAATACATTGCTACCACTAATCTAACGAGCCCGCCCATAGTTGTTCAAAAAGTAATTAATAATTATATTGTTTCTTTCCAGTTTTTCGAAACTATGTACGTCTTTTGTACATCTGTGGTGACACTATTTGAAATTATAATTATATTCTACATCTATCCTCTAAGCAGATTGGTGGACGATATGACGTTCTTCAATGGAATACGCCCCACTAAATTGCGACTTTTGACATTTTGGGCTGCGCCTTGTTTTTATATGGTAACTTTTTTTTAATAATAGAGGAGGATAGACAACCATGAGATTCCCTAATGCATCTGAAAACCCAGTCAAGATCGAAACAATGCGCCGTCGACCTATTTTGGCTTTGGATATTCGGAAATGCACTGACTGAAACCGAAACGTGATCAAACTTCACAGCTTTTTCATCTGTAGTCTGGTCGTAACCTGGAAGGAATGTCGATATTCCTACTATCCATTTAATATCATTTCCAGACGAAGTCCAACATGTTTTAGAAACATTATAAATTGATTTGAAAAATGTTGGACCTGGTGGGGCATCTAACCCCCGACCCGTTGATTATGAGCAGTACATGCTACTATTACACCAAAGAGCCCGTCGAAAAGTCGATTTAAATAATAAAAAAATATTACGGTTCAATATTGTAATATTTACATATAAATTCACATATAAGCTTATAGATCTTAAAATAGTATTTGAAAATGTCCATGTATTAAAGGTTTTTATATTTAAAAGGTTTGATTACCACCTGTTATATTTTTTTTATTTTTTTAGTTGAAATTCTACATGATGATAACAGGATTTCTTACCATCGTCAAATTCACGAATTTGGCGCAAGAGTATCCGAATTACGACAAATTTATTTACAGTTTGGCTATTCCGTTGGTCACTGGCGCCATCTTTGCTATTTATAAATATGTGTTTATTATGAAAATGGTAAGTTTCATACACCTTTACACTTAGCTAATAGGGTTTTGTTATGTTCAATCATTCATATCAAATAACACCAGCTATATCTATTAATAGAATTGAGAAGTAGGAATAATTTATACATGACCAAAATCCTTATCTATTACTGCCTATCTCTTTTAAGGACATGTTGAGGCACTATTTAAACTTTTCTCGCCATTAATAATATCTAAAATGTACAATAAGAAACAATATTATGTTACGACACTTCATTTATTCGTATAAAAATATTTTTTATATAAATACAATACTGTAACGTTTTAAAACGCGATATATATTAGTTAAACTGATTTGAAAATTATTTTCAACTACGGCCCGTCATCGCCAGCCAGTTTTGTCAAATACCAACTTTGATGGAATAGATGGCGCTACTGTATCAGTTTCTACTTTGACGTCAGAGACAACCTTCATATTTAGTCTCCCTGTGGACACAGCTGCAGCCGTCGAACCGTAGTTAAAAATAATTAATAATTGAATAAGTTTAACTAATATGTATCGCGTTTTACACCGTTTAAGTTTAAATAAAACACTTTAACGGTTCAAAACTTTAAACTTTGAAAATGTTTTTAATTTCGGCCCGACGTTTCGGATGCTTTGCAGCAGCCGTGGTCACGGGGAGACAAATAAGTTTAATTAGTATATCGCGTTTTAAACCGTTACAGTGTTTTATTTAAATGTGTACTACTCGCGTAGACAGTATTTATTTTTTGTCTTATTTATGTACAAGTATCGTATAAATTGAATTTTATGAACCAATTATGTAGTAATATGACAGATAACAATTTTAAGGCAGGTAATTCACTGGAGTCGTCCTCAGTAATGGAAAGGAACGCTAATGGAGACCTTTTAGATTTAAAATCTTTTTCGAGTCGCCGCGTTAACTTTAAAGCCTCTTTTAGGACATTTAGGCTGAAACATGTTCACCGCTATGAATACTGTAATCTTCCTTTTTAATAGTTCTCTTGCCTCTTGCTCAATGTATTACCACAGATTGTGAATTCGACTCCTGCGATAAAATTAGTAAAACAGACACAAATATGTGTTCGTTCAACACCCCATAAGGGAACCAGAATTTTATTTTCCCATGATACTATACTATGATATGAACTTGAAACTTAATAAATCTAATAAAAATAAGCACTCAAAATGCCAATGCAAAACTTTAACTATTTCGATGGTTCAGAAGAATTATATGCGTTAAGTAAGTACTGACATAACAATAACGATTCGAATTTTCGTAATTACTAACCTGGAAAACATAAAAAACCACAAAGAAAAACACCGACCTTCTTTAAAATATTCTTCTTTTAAATCAAAAATATCATATCTATAAGTCGAAGGGATGAACACATGATGTTCGTTTTTCTGAACCATATTAAAATGATTTATCGAAAATTTGTACCTACGGTTTTATTGTAAACGAACGCTTATAATCTAACAATGTTCTAGGGCTGGATGCAGCTTTTTAAGCCTCTACCAAACTGGGGCTTAAAATATTTTGCTACAAGACAACTGAGAAAGCGCTACGATTCTCGATTTGTAAGTACACAAAATGTTTCTAATAGCAAAGCCGTGTAAATTACGATATATTAATCCGAGCTCTTTATCGGGTCAAATAAACTAGTAGATACCCTACTAGTTTATTGGACCCGGTGGACACCGAACCTGCGACTCGTTGATTATTAGCCACACATTGCTACCAATACACCAACCACCGCTCAGTTAAAAAAAAACCGTTCGTTTTGTTAACCAATTTAAAAGGAAGAGGCACCATTTCAACTATATATTTGCTTCTTTACGTTTTTTTGACCGCCGACAATTCTGACCCGACTTAAATAATTATTTTCTTGAACATTAGAGTCTAATTTCGTATTAAATTAATTAACATACATACATAATACATGAAACGGTGCAAATATATTCAAACGTGAAACATATACTTAAATTTTGTTTGAACTACGACCCAAATTCTAAACACGGTCAATTTAATTTCAAATTCAAGTAAATCAAGGCTAGTGTACTTAAGATGGTGGGTGACCTTAATATCAACACGTAAACTGAAACGTCGGGTCATAGTTAGAAAATCAAATATATTTTGCGCTGTACCTTTATAAGTGTTTCAATAAATGTGTTCTTATTCACAGTACGTGAAATCGCAAGTGCCGCGTGAGTTAAGCCGGTATCTGATACAGAAATCTGAGCTCAACGAATACAAGCTAGATGTGCGGTATGACATTATATCGCAACGACCAAGCCAAGCAATCGCTCAATTAGACGTCGAAGACGAAAAAAAGGGTTTGTAAGTATTAAAAGACTTACATTGATAACGAACGAAGTTTTATTTGTTATTTTTTTTATTTTGTATAGGTTGATGTAATTTTCTGGCGTTTGTGTAAGTATAGCTCGTGGAGTAAATGTTGTGCTTGAATTAGGCCTACTAGTTTGATAAAAATAAAATATTTTTTAGCCATAGAAATTAAGGTCCCATTCCCAAAAACACTGGACGCTATTTCAAAAGTTATAGCTACACTTAGCAAATATTATCCGAATTATATTATTATTATGCTTAAATAGATAGACTGGAAAGTTTGAATCTTTACACGTTTAAAACCGTGAGTGAAATTAAACTTCTTCTAGAAGAGACCGGACTCAGAAACCTTTGGTTTAACACATATGTATATAGACTTTATATACGGGGTCAACTTCCCGACTAATAATTTGTTTTCCTGGGATTCAAACCTAGGATTAACGCAATGTTGTAAAACACGGTAGTCTGTACAAAAGTAATTTCAACGACTTGTAAAGCACAGTGAGAAACTCACGAGTGTTTCGCGAGCAAAACCGAGTGAATTTGCATTCGCGTAAATAAACAAGCGCGCGCGAACTAATATCGCTCTTTTACAAATACAGTGCAGTCGAAAATTACGACAATTTCGCCCGAGGTGATATTATTTTTGCACGTGACTGACTTTGTTTGTTTCGGTTGAATGTGGTATTCATAATAATGTTAGGTGTTGCGAGTTTAGAAAAAGCTGCTAGCAAACTTTTAAGATAACGTAGTACGTTTACATATTAAAAATCTACACATGACAGATATATTTCAAATACAATAATACGAGACACTTAACGGTTTAAAACGTAAAACATTCACTTGCCCATCAGTATACGTAGTGGTTAGTAGTAACAATTTTTGAAACTTTTAAATTATCTTTCACGTGATGCATAATATATTATTATATAAATAAATACATATTTATAAAAAAACACCCGTCTTGTGATTTAAATAACATTGAGCGAGAGGTGCATGTATCAGTGAGTTGAATAATGATGATACAGTACCACAATTGGTTAGAATAGCAGCACGGAACGCTGCGGATGCCAGATCAAGTCCTGTCATAGAGCTTGTGTCATCAATGTTTTCAGTGCAAATAGATTTAAAATTAATATGTTTTTTTTTAATAAACCGCAACATATCGCTTATAATTGCAAATTATTGCGAGTACCTAAAAGTACGTTTTTTAATATGTTATACACGCCGAAAAAGATGAACATATGAAGAGATATTTCTATTCAAGAGTAGATCACATCTAACAAGATACGTACTGGTTGAATGCGTTAAATCCATTTAGAGCTTAAAGTATCCCCCATAGAGGAGATCATAAACTTGAGCACTGAGAAAATTGTGTTTTAAAAATTCACAGCAGAGTAAACGATTCTATCACGGAATGAAACTTATCTGGAGACGTACCTCTACAGAGATTTTATGTGGAAACGCCAGCAGAATAAAGAAGGAATGTTCCTCATTAATACTATATAGTTTATACCTACGAAGATCCTATATGGATGTGGAATTATACTCTAAAAAAGAAATACTAATATATATGGATGTAGTTTACACAAGTACGCATTTAAATAAAACACTGTGGTCACGGCTGCTGCAAAGCATCCGAAACGTCGGGCCGAAGTTATAATTTCCAAATAAGTTTAACTAATATATCGCGTTTTATACCGTTAAAGTGTTTTATTTAAATGTGTACTACTCGCGTAAACTATAGACAGTATTTAATTAACAAGTACGTATTTCAGTAAAACACTTTTACGGTATAAAATCGGATTTTATTCTCTACTCAATGACAGAGAAATCACAGTTTGATTTAATAACTGTAGGACCTAAGGACGTCATTTTGGTAGTAAACAATTATTAAATTTAATTAATAAATTAAATTTACTAATAGGTAACTGAAGACGAATTGTTCCTAAGCATGATATTAATTAATTTGAATAAAACACTTTTATCAGTTGAATTCATTCTGATGTCACGGGGGCGTGACCACGGCTGCTACAAAGTATCAGAAACTTCGGGTTATAGTCAAAATAAATTGTAATTTTAATTAACTTAACGTTTTAAACGGTTAAAATTGTCTTATTTAAATGTGTCTCGACGAAGCTACAGACCCTCAGTTACTAAAATATATCAATTTAGTAACTTACGTAATATTGAAACTAACGCACAAATTTTGTTTTACTGTCTCGTCATAGACAGTAGTTTACCCAATAATGGCGTTGTTTTAGGTTTAAGCTGTATGTTTTAATTACATACATTCTTTAGTAAAATATTTTTTTAAATCGCATTTGAAGTAAAATAATCGTATGAAAATAAAGTCATTACCATATCAACACATCTACATTAAATACTGTCTGTAGTTTACGCGAGTAGTAACATTTAATTAAAACACTTTAACGGTTTAAAACGCAATATATTTACTTAAACTTGTTGGAAAATTATTTTTAACTACGGCCAGGCATTTCGGATTCTTTGCAGCAGCCGTGATCACTAGTATCCCCGTGACCTTTAAAATGTTTTATTAAAATATCTAAGTTAAGTGAAATCTCTCTGAAAACTTTTACAAAAAGAGACAGCGACAAATATAGAGAAAAACTATAACAATATCTGACAACTTCACCTAACTGCTAGAAGAGTGTAAAAAATCACCGGTGTTTACCAAGGCGATGTGGACTCGTGGTAATTCGAATTTATACCAGTTAGTTCTAAGCAGGACTAATGGCGAGGATGGGATTATGTTCCGGCAAGATTGAGGAGCTAAGCTCGTGTGGGATAAAGGACTCGGTGTATTATTTTATTTTTACTGACTGAAGTGACAGTCTCGTAGATTTTTATGACGGAAGAGGTCAAGCGTGGAGTTAACTTGATGGAAGGTGAATCTTCTATGATACTACTCATGATAGAAAAGGACAGACGAGCTTCTGGTCTAATAATGTTTAGAAAAGTATTTTTCCGAATTTAATAGACGATAAAATAAAAAATATTTATAAATAAATGAATTGGTATTTGTATTCAAGAGAAAAACATTTTTAATAAATAAATTTTATATCCGTCATTTATAGTATATACTTATTCTATATATCTTCATAATTAGATAAATTGAGATGTTTTCTCGTAACAATATTTAGACTTTTAATTCTAAATAATTATTGTAAAACGCAATCCTGTAATCAGGATTAGGGTTAGTTAAGTAAATAAATAAATTAAGTTGCGTGTGAAATGCCTTTTATGTAGACACACATGTTTTACACGTAATGTGAAAGATTAGACATTAAAAAAAATGCTAACGCTTTCGGCGAGTTCTTTATCTTATCTTACTACTGAGAACAGAAAAGGTCTTTAACAGTTATGCAAACACGACTGAAAAGAACTTACATTTAAAATTTATAATAGGAATATATTGTAAGTTTAAAAATAGCAATTAAAAATGAATGTTACTGTTAAATTGCCTCCAACTGAATCGGTGTAGTGAGGCGTTGTAATAAGTGGAGCGGGAAATCCACAAGGGAAAGAACTGCAATTTTATGAGCTAACTTCGTAGTTCCATCATAACTTACATTTATTTTTATTGGATGGGTAGAGCAGTCTTACATTGGTAATTATAAAGGTTTTAAATAAAACAGTTTTTACGGTTTCAAACACAAAATATAGTCGTTAAGTATTTTCTGTAGTTAACGTAAGTTACACATTTAATTAAAATAATTTTAACGGTTTAAACCGTGAGATGTATTACAGTATTATTTGTTGTACCGCCCGACGTTTCGGATGTTTTGTAGGAACCATGATCACGGGACATGTGGGGACATGAATTAGTCTTAGTTAGCCGTAGTAAAAATAAATTGTAAATAAGCTTACTAATACATTTAAATAAAACACTTTAACGGTTTAAAACCGATATATTATTAAACTTATTTGAAAATGATTTTTAACTTCGGCCACGTTTCGGATGTTTAAGCTGTAGGGAGATAAAGATGGAGGATTCTAGACGTCAAAGTAAAAATTTAGCTAGCCCATCTTTACTTTGAGTTGAGACATCCTCATCTTTAGTCTCCCCGTGACCACGATCCGAAACGTCGGGCCGAAGTTAAAAATCATTTCCAAATAATTTTATTACTAATATATCGCGTTTTAAACCGTTAAAGTGTTTTATTTAAATGTTACTACTTAATATTATAAGTCACGTTGCAAACCTGTAAAAGTAATTTACTTAAATATATTAGTAGTAAATACTTATTTTGCGTTATAAACCCTTAAAAATGTTTTAATTACTTGCGCAATAGTTAATTTTAAAGTTCTATATCTTAAATTATACAAATCAAATGATATTTATTATTACATACTTTCGCTCTTAGATTCTGAAGTTTAAACTTGTTGTTATATACTGATTCACCTCTCAAGGAAGATTATATAGAACTAAAGAAAATAATGAGGTAAGTGCGACGCGGTGAGTTGAGTCCCAGCTGTGGGAAGACATGACAGAACTAATATTGAGATAATAATTTTAATTAAAATTGAGTAAACTTATATAGATGAAGTGATGTTTGAAAACTTGAATATTGCGCAATTGGTTAGAGCAGCAGCAGTGAACGCTGTGGATGCCGGTTCAAGTGCTGCCAGAATAGTATTTTTTTAAATTTATAATTTTTGAAGTAGTGTTTATAACGAACGCTTTTTTTAAATCCGCTTACTTTTCTTCTGTAAACGTATGCAGACAGTAAACATTCACCAAAGAAGTTAGGGATGATACACACTCGAAAACTTACGTAAATGAAGCCGCCATTAAAGACTGTAGATTGCAAAAAAATGCTTCCATTCCCTCAAAGCCCTAATAGACGCTGAACTTTGTACCGCTATTTCTGTCCTTCCACGTTTAAGTGGTCTTGTCGTAAATAAGTTTTTTAATTTCCGACTACCGCTTTATTTCAAAACTTACTGTGAGACGTCTTTATGTACAAGATT